GTTTTTATGATTGGCTTAATGTTGAGAAAATGATTAGACATTACCATCTGATTAATAATTTTATAGACTTGCGTTTATGTCAGGACTTTCAAATGTATCAACTTTATGTGTGTGTTTTTTTTCTGGATAGTGAAACAATAAACAGAAGAGTGCGGAGTATATGTTGATTGGTTGGTGGTTACCTTCACCGCTCTGCTGACAGGCCACCTTAGACTGTAACTATTGTGTTGCGTGTATTTGTATGAGTGAAAGAAAAATAATCCCCAAGTACCTGAACATACAATACACAACCATACGGCAATGAATTCAAAGTACGTTCAGTTAAAATTTTAGAATTATTTATTCAAGATAAACTGAATACAAGAACAACAATTTTCACACAATTACTGACGGTTTTTGTGGGTGTTTGAGAAGAGTCTGAAAGAAAATAAAAACATATTTAACAAACGTGTCGAAAACTAGTAAACTAGCAAAGCAGTAAAGTATTAGTTATGCGGTGTAAAATGTGTATGCCGCGAAATTAGCCGTGAAAAGAAGCAGCGATACAGTATAGTAGTGAGATAATTGACATGATGTTCGTGATAATACAGTATAGTAGTATGATAAGTAACTCATTATTCACGGCTATAAAGTATAGTGAGATAATTGACACGATGTTCACGGTGATACAAAATTGTAGTAGTAAGATAATTGTAGAGTGACAGATAAGTTGTACAGTTTACTCACAGTCTAAGAAACATTTTAGTCACAGTATAACAACTTATTGGGGGAGCCAATACCGATGTTTGTGAGAACATCTACGGTAGCATCTTCATCAATTTTGGCTCTGCAACTTGTGTTGTCGGAACACTGGCCACCTGACAACAGTACAGCGGCGACACCTGAAATCATACATAAAATAATATTTAATTCGGGCGCTTCACAAATCACTCATTAGCCTCTAACAGTTGTTTTAATATAGTGCGGTTTGAAGGTCGGGTAGAACCAGAAACGATTACGTGGGACGAGCTTGCTAGTCTAGTCCTTTTATCCACACTTTAATCAACTTTTCTAATAGTTTTCATGTCTCAAACTGTCTGGCAATCGGCTTTGAACATAGTTGATAGTAAGTTTTTAATACTGTATGGGTATTTTAATGTTAAACTTCATCAGAAAATAGTAACGCTCGCGTGACAGAAAACATCTGAATAAAATAGTTCATTTCGGAATGTTGGTGATAAGGCGGGAAAAAAATAAACAGTGCAGTCTCGTATGATAATACCTCATAGTTAATTAAGAGTTAGCTTAACTTACCACAGACGTGTGGGGCAGCCATTGATGTACCACTGAGCGATTCGTAACAAGTGTCACATGTGTGATACGAACTTCTTACAAAGCTTCCAGGAGCAAAAATTTCAAGACATGTGCCATAGTTTGAAAAACCTGAACGTGTGTCCGTATCCGTTGTAGCGCCAACAGTTATGCTCTGCAAAGAGTGAACGAATGATGTGAATGGTTTTGCTGCACACAAATACACTGCCTAGCCATCATAATATCACATTTACCAAAACAAGTCTAGCTGAACTATCTATAGTAATTTTCTGCACACGTGCTTGGTTTTTAGCAATTACTTGTACTCACCGTTTCCTCTCTCGACGGGGATCCGTTGCAAGCATCCTCATCACTATTACCAGCAGCAACAGCTGTTGTAAACCCGGCAGCAGTTAACCGTGTCGTGGCATCGTCCATAGCAGGGCTGGGACCTCCACCAAG